AAGTACTAGAATAAATAAAAAATAACATATAAATATAAAATATTAGAGTGTATATTTTTATTTGTAAGAACATATATTACTTAACAAATAAAATAAATATTCAAAAATAGAAACATATGCACACAGCATGATATAAACATTTATAAATAATAGTAACTAAAATAAAAAAGGGATATATGTATTTCGACTTATTTATATCAGAGTAATATATAAAAAATATAATAATAAATGGATTTGAAAAAAATTTATAATGAGTAGAAGACAAAAAATATATATATATCATATTCCTTATATGAAAAAATGAATACATTAATTGATTCATAAAATATATCTGTAACATTATATCTACAAATAAAAAACATATATTTTAAAATATAATTCTTTTAAATTACATAACCATTCAAATAAATATAAATATTAACAAAATTTTTCTTTTTTAAGGAAAAATAAACTCTTATTCCATATATATATGTAAAATAATTTTAACAGTATATTACTAATACTACCTGTAATTTTTGTACTCATATATGTGGCACAATAGTTTCTATATAAATCTAAGACATATTATAATCCGTGTATATGAAAGTTAATTTATATTTATACTTATATGTTTGATTTAATAAAATGGTTTCCATTAATATAATCTATTAGCCTTATAAAAATGAACAGAATGCTATATATAAGAACAATTTTTTACATTTAAAGCATGTTATATATATTTTCAGGAATAATATTGTTGTACATTAAGAGTTATAATTTTTACATTAATACGTTTATGATATTAGAAACATATTAAACAATAATATGACCAATATAATATTAATGTATTCTTATGAGATAAATTAAAAATAATTACATAAATAGTATATATTATTTTTACAGTATTTTAAAATTTTACATTAAAGCATTTGTGTGTTATCTGATATCACAAATATATATGATTTCTATTGTTATATATTTCAGTAATTCATAATAATTTTAACAAGATTAATATTTTTATATAATTATTATTACACTAATTTTGCAGAAATCGTTATATACTACAAATATATTGAATCATAGGTGTGTTAGAATTTAATACTAAATGATAATTTTACAATATGTTGTTTTGTTTCTCTGTATTTTTGATTTATTATATTATATTTTGGCAGTGTGTTTATATTCATTAACTATATATTTTTTACATCATGAGTCTAATGCTGCAATTACGTAACATGCTAAACAAAAAATAATAAAAATTGTGCTTCATCTTGTATCACATTAGACAATAGAATATTTATCGCATATACATAATTTATGTTATCTAAATAAATCTTATTTAAATATTTTAAATGCAATTATAGTTAAATATATACTTTATTTTTTACGAGAGTCAAATAATGAAAAATAAATGTATTTTTTTACATGATCTATCATTATAAATATTAATTCATATAATAATATAACTCAGTAAAACGTGTTTATGATTCTGATACATATATATTTATTTATGTAAAGCCACGTTTTGGAAGCATATGTAAACACTTAATATACACAACATACTATTTCATAATACTTTAAATAATTAATGAAAAAAAAACTGAATATTATGGAGCATTCTTTTGAATAAATATGATTTACATAGTTTCTACATAAATGTACAATATTATTAGGATCTATTGTGTACCATTATAAGATGTAATCATTATAAAATAAATTGCAGTAAAAATAAAGGAATCACAAAAAATACTGATTTGTGATTTTTGAATATTTTTAACTTATTAATATACATTAGTAATATATATAGTCATGCATATTTTTAATTATATATCATTACATGCAAAATAAATTGTATATACATAATATAGAAAGACATAAAATAATTCATTACATAAAATTATATATATAAATGCTAAGCATGATGAAATATATATTCAATAAATTGAATTATTTAACACATAAAATGTTATACTCTCGTTATTTATTTCAAAATAAAACAGTTATACTTTCTATAATATGGTATATTTCTTGAAATACAAAAGATACTATAATTGTATCTAAAATAATACATTATGAAAAAGAAGTAAAATAAAAAGTAAATTTTTAAAAAATATAAAAGTAGTATATAACTTTTATTATAATAATTTTTTGTATTTAAGATATATCTGCTGTTGCATTATTATGTAGGAAGTATATTATTTTAATATTAGTTTTGTGCTCATATATATATACTTGTAAAAAGAAAGCGCTCGTAATTTTATATAATTAATAACAATAATATTTGATAAATATATTTTTATACATAATTTTTATATATATTTCATCATTTATTATATAATATTAGATGAATAAATTTAATTAAAAAATATATATTATACATTAACGCATATAAAAAATGTAGAAGATTGTATTATTTCATATGATCATGTTTAATTTCTGCATATAGAAGTATAATTAATACTAATTAATTTCTAATTTTGTTTAGTCGTAAACCATTGTATTCAGCATATATATGTATTAAGGTTTGCATAACAAAATTTCTCTTGAATATATAATTTTTTTGGATAAAACAGCGGAGTAATTTATTAAATACTTAATACACTGAGAAATATAAATAAATATATACATCTAATGTTCTTAAGTAAATCGTACAAATGTATATAATTTCATTGCAATAGAAGTAAATACGTTAGAATTATATACGAACAAGATATTTATTCGTAAAATAGTGCGTCACTATTTTAGTATTATTATCTTATTCACAATAAGTCATTGTATTTCAACTGAAGAAATAATATTCCCTCAGTAAATTATGCTTTAAATTCAATCATTCTATTAATTAATGAATATTTATTATATAAATGTGTGTTATCATTTTTGTAGTAATATACACACATATATATTTAAATCGCTATATAATAAAATACAATTATATAAATTATAAATGTATTATTCCATTAAACATATTTTTATAAAATGTTACAATGACAAAAATTAGGAAAAAATATATTTATACAAGTATTTATATAATATATCAACTCACGTTAATTTATACTTTGTAATTATTTGTATTATATGATAAACAATATACGTATATACAATTGTTTTTATTAATTTACTTGAAATCATATAAAGATCATATAAAAGGATGGAATTATAATGATGTATATAAATCACTAGCAAATATCATTTATATATTTTATATCGAATTATATAAAAATAATGTTGGCAAGTGTTATAGTGTACATTAAAAATATATAATCATTAAATAAAATATAAAAATTTAATATTCATTATATAACAAAAAAATTAATATATATAAGTCATATATCTAAAATATTATATAAAGAATTGATTGATATAACACTTGTAACATAGAATACGAATTATTAATTATTTATCTTGGTTATAAAATGTATGAACATTAATATAAATGTTTTATAGAAAACGTTTATAGATATCTGTTTATAGTCTAAATTGTGGATTGAGCTAAACATTATGTATTACATAATATTATTAAATGTATTTTAACAAATATACATGTTATTAAGAAATAATAAAACTAATATTTCTTATTGAATAATTTTACGCCATAAATTAAAAAAAGAGGAATGAATTGGCATATAATAATATATATATGCATATTTCATAAAAAAAATTATATATAAATATATTCATTGCTAAAATTAATAATAGTATATATCCCCTTAAAAATGATTTCTGAACAATTGGTGCTAAAACATAAAACCTAAATTATAAAGCCTAAAGCATTGGATCCTAAAACCAAGATATAAATTTTTATTATTTTGCTAAGGATTTACAAAATTTTTTTGCATAGATAACAGCTATTTAAATACAACAATATACTGAGATGTTATAATATTAATAACCCTATATAATGGAATAGATTTATATAAAATCATTTATGATTTTGTATTAAAATTGTTCAAAATAATCAATTATTGTAGAATAAATGTAACAATAATATATATATAAATGTAAAAAAAATATATATGTAAGCATATTTATATATATTATATTTATATAAGTTTCTTATAATCACATGATAAAGTGTTAAAAAGTGTGAAAACATGAATATAAGATATCTCTTACGTTCTTATATAATAGGTGTAAGTTGTTTGAATTCATAAGAACTAAATACTATCTTATTTTACTTTGAAAATAAAAATACATGAGCCCTAAAATCTACCCTTCAAAAATTAAATTTATAAAGAGTAATTTAAAATTTTATATGGCATTGATGTGTATGCTTAGATAAAAACCTTTCAATCACTGAAAGATTAATTTTTGTTATATATTAAAGCTAACTAAACCATATATATAATATTATTTTGTTGTGAAATTTGGAATTAAGGTAGAAGTAATAAAACTTTAAATCATCCTCATATATGACTTATAAGATAAAGAGCAATACACATATATTACAATTATTTTTATTAACGTGTTACTTCCTTATTTGATTTATGTACTCTGAAATTAATTATCCCTAAACTCTATATCTTAATTATTCTAATTTTACATTTTTGTCGCTATAAATTATATATACTAAAGTGAAAAGCATTTTAAGGTTTAATAGACATACTATTATATGAATATTATAATGAGTTGCATTCGTTTTTATTGTGTCGTTTTCTTTATTGAAAGTATTATTAAAATTATATATTTACCATAAGTCAAATCAGACATGGTGTTACATTTTAGAAGTCCACATTTTTTTCATTTTATTATAATTAATATATTTATGTTTCTTATTTTTTTATTAAAATAAATCGTAAATCATGATGCATCATACATATCATTTATGTTGTATTTGAGAAAAATAATAATTCATTTTGAAGAGACTTGAGAATAATTTTATATTAGTTCAATAAAATATAAAAGAACGTATCATAAATTATATTCAGGTAATGCGTCTCTATTTTTAAAAATATGTTTTTCTATGTTTACACATTTCATGAATTTATTTGGTTCATGTGCAATATAATATAATCTTATATAAGATGGCAGATGACGTTGTATGTTTGAAATATTACGGTATTAATGACATTATTATATAATTATGTATATTACATTTTCCATACATATAATAAATTTTTTTTTAAGAATGTATAATATTTTTTATATAACTATTTTTTCTTTTAATATCAGTATAAATTTTTAAAAGACTTCCCTTTTTGTGAAGATACGATTCAACAGTTTAAAAATTATCCTCTGAGACGCAGCAGTTATGTTTGCTATGCAATTGCCAACAAATTTGCATCTAATGTGAATACTAATATTATTCTAAGGGTGTGTCCTCAAATTCTTGAATATTTATATGATTTGAATATTATGAGTAAAAATAACATATATAGAGAAGCAGGATGTAGATTCATTCATTATTGGTTATATTATTATCTTAAAAAACACAATTATAGTAAATATACAGTACAGATTTACGAAATAATAATGTTGTATTATGCCTCTACTATGAATAGAACTACATTTTGTACTGATTATGTGAATAAATTAACAGATGAACAATTAGAATACCTGAACTATATATACAATTTCTATAAATGCATTAAAAATATAAGCAAATATAATATTTCCGAGAACTATACAAAATATTGCGGTGCTCTGAAAAATATTATAGAAGAAAATCAAACACCAGTATTGAAAGAAGTTTGTGATACGACTCAACCGCAAAAATCAACACTTGAAGAAAGTAATATACAAGAAATAGCATGCTCTTGTAGATCTAATATTGTAGCTACTATTTTAGCTACAATTATTGTAATGTTAATAATGTTGTTTTTTTTGTTATTTTTCTTTAAGGTTAATTATAATATTTTTTGCATGTATCGATAATAATAAGTTATTTGTCGTAAGAGTTCAAAAATAAAAACATTTATCACATCACAATTACATAATTAGTTCCCAATATTCTTTATATTTACTAGTATACTCCATATGGTCCATTATTAAGCCGTAGAATAAAAAGGATAAGAAAAATGTTGGATAAAAACACTAATCCAAGGAATATATCCCAACGAACCGAAGTACCCATAAATATACTCAATAGTGGGATATATGATATGCTATACAATTAATCCTAATTTTATATATAATTCGAAGAAAGATGCATTTTAAATAATTTATAAAAGAATTTAAGTAAACTGCATTATGTATTCCTCTCTAATAGACTTACTTAAAAATGAAATAATTCTTACAGTATAATAAAAAAAATTCATATAACTTATTATCAATTTAATAAATAATATTACAAAATGATAATCTAATAATTATTAAAATATTTCCCGCAGGTATATAAATACTAAATAAAAATATTATAAATATATTTTTTACTTGTTTTAATACTCAGTGTTTTGCATATGTAAAATTATTTTAACTTATTATTTAGTATTTTATAAATAATATAATAACACATTACATGACTAATACAGTAGTTATTATAGAACATACAAATTTTGTTAATAATTCAATTACAATATATATAAGGGTGTTCTAAATATATTATGCTATATAATAGCATAATTTTATTAATAGGAATTCCCAGTTTCTATGCTCATATATTAATAACAAACTTTGATTCATAGTTCTCTTTATTTCTTCTTAATATTTTTCAATTTTAAGGATATAATATTTCCATCTATATACTATATCAATGTGTGAATTATTATTCGATATTAGAGTATGTATATAAAAAGGAGAAGGAATTACAAAAAATAATTTATTTTTTTCATAAACTTTTTTCATTATATTAAGTTCGTTGGATAGAATATACCATTTTTTGAGCATTTTAATTTATCTCCATACTTTTTATAGTATTATAATGAATTTCAATTTTCCTACTTCACCTATAAAAAAAATTAAAATAAATGCGTACATTAATTTTTTTGAAGTCAACATTAGGTGTAAAATAAAATTATATATATTTATTAAATTAATGAATCTACTATATCACAAATTCAAGACAGAGTCATTTTCTTATAGTTTTACAGTATTCCCCATATAGTTATAAAATATAGAAACTGAATATAGTACTATTCTTTATATTTATCCTGTACATGCATTATATTAAAACAATATTCTCTAATTATATTATATATTTTATAATTAATTTGGTTATGAATATTTTTAGTGAAAAAATCATTACATGTATCATAATACATTGGTTAATATTTACTTATATTTTTTGCTCGTTTACAATTGTATCGAATTTACCATAAATTACTGGGACATAACTGTAACAACTTATTGTTTTGTTATGGAAGACGATTAATTTTACTTCTGTATCCCTAAGCAGTGTCTCAACCCTTCTAGTTTTATAATTTCATTTGTTCTTCAAACTAAAACACAAGTCTTGTAGTTCAATGATTTATATTACAGTTAATGCGCCCTCATAATTTTTGTATTGCACTAATTTTTATGAAAATTATCTTAGCATTAATTACATTAATTATAAAATACTTTTCTTCATATTATTCATTCATCTGTGTTCATACAAAATAAATATCCATTTCCATGCGCATAATACTTAAATTGTGTTATTTTTTATACCTGTATTAAATTATTTTCCTATATTTTTGCCTCATTGAGCATTATCACAAAACTATAATGGCATTTTCCTTCATAAAAATCTCGTATATAATATTTTATTAATGCTTTGTTACAGAAAATGTTTTGTGCAGATGGATATGTCAAACATAATTATCTTATGTCGTAATATATAAATTTATATTATGAGACATATGATTCTATTTCCACTTCGATTATTTCATTTTGATTGGAGGTTTAATTTTCTTCTTTATTCTTATTTTATATGACCTTGATACAGATGAAGTAAAATAATCATATATAAATAGAGGGGAATATTATTATTTAAGAAAAATATACATATAAAAATTATAAATTTTTATATAAAATACTTATATATTTAATTATAATCAGTATATACGTTATAATTCATGATAGACAACATCACTGTTGCTAATGTTAAGTAATCTAAGATAAAACCATTAAAAAGATGTTAATTTTATATAATATAATTTGCTTTTAGAATAATGGAAAAAAGTTAAATTATTTCACTTGATAGATGATGTTGTATAGAAGATCTACCTTGTGTAACTTCATTAAACTCAGGTTATTGCCAAAATTTTGATAAAAAATTCAATTTAACTCATGTTTTGTGTCTCTTACATCCTTAATTCCTATAATTTCATCAATATATAACTCTTCACATGCCATTAAGAAGGTAGATATAACATTTGGTTCACGTGTTTCTTTATTAGTGAAATAAAGTTCGCAATGTGATTCTATGGATATATAGTTACAAGTTCTATATTCATAATGATAATTCATATAAATCAGTTTAATATATGTATTTTAAATACATTTTCATATCGTTTTTATAACAATTATTATTTTTCATATATTTACAATATAAAAAATGATCATGTAAACATTTCTAATATTTCCAACTTTATGGGTTACCTTATTTATTACATATATATGGTTGCAATTCAGGCTGTTTTTTAATTAATGATACTACAAAGCCACATATTTCAACACTAATGCACCTAATTTATAGATCACTTATATATTAGTCCTTTTTCATTATGTAATCATAGAAGCAGTGGAATAAGTAATAACATATATATATTCCTTCATTTTATTGTTCAACTGACAATTCTTTAAAATTATTTAAAATGTTTTCATAAAGGATGTTAATTCTTCGTTAAAACTTTCTAACACGTTATATTATTTATTATTAGTGTTTCTAATATACACTTTATCAAATATATTATATTTGTTATGGACAAATATAGAAATATTTGACACCATTAAATAAGCAGAATATACAAGTATTGTTATACAAATGTTAGTTATTCTTAAAAAGGATATCATTCACTGATCATAAAGTTATAGAAACTGCTCAAATTTTTTTTTCTTTACATATCAAAAGTGTAAATATGACAAATAATATTAATTATTGATGGAATCCTATTTTAATTAGTTGTAATGAATTAATTATAAAATGAAAGAAATTATCTATATGTAGCAGCCTACTTATTTAGCATTAAAAGTTCTTCGTTGCTAGCATCACTTTAAGAAGTAAATATTTTCAATTATTTATAAATGAATTGGTGAAATGGGATTTCTGCAGAATATCCTTTTAAAAGAATATCATATATAATCCTATTAATAATGAGTTATGAATAAAGTAATTCCTATTTTCACATAGTTCGAATTATGACATGTTCATATCATTGTTAGTTATTCCTTCGTAGATATCATCTATCGAAATAATATATTATAATTAAATTGTTTATGCTTATAATAGATAAATAATATCATCATTTTTCAATAAAAAAGTTCAATTTATTTCATTGTTCTACTACGCTCTTTTCGAGGGTTCATGTCATTTATTTGCTTTTACATTTTTAAAAATACAAATTTTTAAAACTGATGATATTATTAAAACAGAAGTGATATAAACTAATAAACATAATTTCCAATAATTTAATTTAACTGTGTGTATTAAAAAATATATAGTGTGTAAACAAAATGTTATAAAATGCATGTGTCTGTTATTCGATGTTATTACATTGCATAAATACTAGTGAATTTCAATATACATAAAATTTAGTATAACTGAAAAAAATACTTCCATCCAATGTTCATGTTTTAACATGTAATAAATAAAAATTTAAAGATAAATTTGTATATGTATACATATATAATGAACATTTACAATTAGTCATTTAAAAAAAAAATGCATTTTGTTAGGGTAAGAATATAAGAAGATTATTGAGCACTTTAATTTTTTAGAAAAATTCAAGTTCCAAACCACAATGATACAAGATCTCACATCTGTTTCAATTACAAAAGGGAGCTTAAATTTCTGTATTTATATAAACGAATCTTGACTTTATTTATATATTTCAGTTATTTCTTTTTCAAATAAACATGGAATTTTAAATATATTTTATTTAAAAAAAATGTGAAAATTTCTTTCACGTCCTTTGTTAATACTCCGTTGAAATAGAACATGGACAATTATTATGATAATTAAACAATAAAGCATAACAATCATGGATCTTTTATATTGTTTTATCTTCGTGAATATTTATCCCAGTATATATTTCAAAAATTTTTTTAGAAATGAATTGTGAACATAATGAATACATAAGTGAAATGTTTTCTTGTTTTCAATAAATGAATATGTACAAAAAGCTGAACTTTTTTTTGCATATCAATTGTGTTATTTATATATATAATGATACATATTTATAATATGCATATGATAGTAAAAAAAAAAAAACCAACTTTGTTAGTACATTAAGATGTCAAATATTCTATAATATATATATGTTTGTGCATTCACATGTTATGTTGTAGTAATCTTACAGAGGTATCATGTGTTTTTTTTTTTTATAATTTTATATTAAAATATGAGTTATAGTAATAAGTATTATAACTTTGAAGAAATAATTATTAAAACATTCCAATTGCGATTAATAAGAACTTTAATGAGCATTTTATAGAATTTTTATATTCCTCCAATATAGCGTACATGTAACACATTAAGATGATTTCTTGACATTAAATTTTATATGAAAAATTGCGTTTTTTCAAAATTGTCAAGGAAAATTATACTACATTAATTAATATTTTTTGGAAAAGTACTATATAATTTATAAGATTCTTTTTGTTATATAGAATTATATGAAAAGAATTTTAGACAAAAACATTTAACTTTTAATTGCATTACAAAGTGCATGAAAAGATATTGTACTTTGTCTTATAGAAAAATAAATGGGAATGTTTATAATTAAAGATTTTTATTTAAAATAATTGCGTATCACAATGAAAATCATCAGTTACCCTTTTAAGTTAAAATGAGTATTAAATCATTAAAAAAATGACTAATGCATGAAAAGATCATACCATCATAAAATGAATATATGTAACAATTATAACGTTGAATTATCTTTATAAAATAACTATGAAATTGATGAGTCTTTTATTGCCTTATAAGAGATAACAAAATGACTTTAACATAACATATACAAGGAATAACAATAAAAGGAATATATACATTTCTATAAATAATTATTAGACATGTACAAAAATTAATATTGTGAATTGTTATTACTATACTATATTCAATTGAACATAAATTAAAACTAAAAATTTCAGGAATGATTGTTTTTTCTATACACAGTTAATCTAATAAAAGTAAAATAATAACTTTCGCTTAAGAAAATTCATATATATAAAAGTTATACATAATACAGAATTCAAAAGGAAAAGTAATAATGTTATTAACACTACAACCAAAGAATGTGTTGTAAAATAACTTCATTTAAATAACATGTAATTTTACAAATATATGTTATAAATAGTACACTTTAAGGAATTTTGGAACTAAAAAAAAAAATATGCTTTATTGTATAAACATTTCATATTTTTAGAACCATATTGCATCATTATTTATATCTAAGTAATAGAAAGATAATGAAATAGGGATAACTTGAAATGGGTAATGTAAGGTAACCAATCTACACATGGTAAGACAAAATAATCATATGTTGTTTTAATGAACAAACGAACTGATACATAACTAATATTACATATATATTTATAAGTATATTTGTATTTTTATACCCCATTAATCTATATTATGTTACTTAAATAATAAAAATATATATAAATAATAAAAAAGTTAATTTCTGTGTTACATATGCAGTCGTGCGAATGTGATACTTTTCTAGTGTTAATCACATAAAATTTTTTTCTCGTATATTTGTTCGATTTGTTTTTCATTATATACACTTTTTTCTTGCTTCATTTCCATTATAATAATTTAATTTTTCGCCAAATAAAATTATTGAATAAAAAAAGAAAAAATATGTAAAAAAGTAATAATTCATTTTTTTGTGTAATTAGGTAAATGCCTATAAAAATTCTAATGAATATATATATGAAATGCAAATAGTTATTTTTCAAGATTTATCGATTGCACATTATTTTAAGAATTAAATAGACATTTTAATTAAAAACCGCTGTCACAAAAATAAAAAAAACCAAGGTTATACGTGATTTATTATTGACTCATTATAATATACGCAAAACTATAAAATTCAAAATATATCACCCAAAAAATAAAGAAAAGGATATACAATGATTAAAAAATTATTTTTACGTCAAAATATAACTTCACAGATTGTTTCTAACAACACATTTTTTGTAAGAAGAATTATATATCATAAGCGACAAATGAAATAATTTTAAATGGAAATATAGATTATTTTAAACATATGCGTTGTTTTACATTTAAATAAAAAATACTATATATGAATATTTATATGTAATATATAACAGATCAAGTTTTATTTTATTTATATATGCGCAGAGTATATAATATTTGTATTCATGTTAATTTTTTACAACCACTTAATTTTTACGTATTATGTTTCCCTATATTTCTACTTATTATGTATTCATTTAATGCTAAAAAATGACACGAATTTATTAAATATGCATTTGTAAATTTGTCCATTTAGTAATTATCCTTAAAATATCACTTAACACACAAATATTATTTGCTCAAAAAATTCATGTATGCTGTTTTAAAGCATCGTAATGATATGTCAAGAAACAACTATTCGTAATCTTTCTGAATATTATAAACTGTGCTTTACAAAATGTGTCTATGTATATACATAATTTTATTCCCCAAATTATTTATTTAAAGGAAGAACGGAACGCAGCTATAAATTTAATAACTTGATAGATAATGGCCACTGTGTCATATTTTACATCTGATGGCGACAATCATTATGACTTCGATAAATGCTTAGAAGAATATATTAATTATTTAGATAAAGGTAAAGAACAAATTCATGATTTTGAAGCCAAAACTTATACAAATTACTGCACTGAATGGGAAAAATTATGTAAATATATAAAACATAAAAGAGAAGGCCTAAATGAATGCTATATAAAATACCATATGCCATATAATGGAGATGGAGAAGAAACAATAAATCATTTTATTGGAAAATATTCTAATACATCTGAATGTTCCTTCAGTAGAGTATCTCTTGTTAAAGATAATTCTAAATTAATATCGGAAACACAACACAATGAAGATCGTAAACAAGAAAAATTAGGTGAAGGACTATTGGAAAAAGAATTTGAAATGTTACAAGTCCAAAAGGATATAAACCATCCTTCTAGTTCTGATTCTCAAGATGAAGATCGCAAATCAACTGATAGTCATACTTTCAGTACACCTTTAGAACTAGAAACATTGTGCAAGTCTGAATCCTGCACAGATCCTTCAACATGTACAGCATTAGGAACCCAAGCAAGTGAAACAGTTTTACAAAAAATCCACAATGATGGTTGTGTGATACATATTAAACATCAAAAAAAAATTTTACATGAATGTTCTATCAAAGGCAATGTTTCTGTTTCCGAACATGCTGCTGAGAAGACAGTTGAAATGCAAGAGGTTAAAGTTCAACCACCCGACACAAAAAGTAATGAAGTTACTTTTCTTGCTAATGGAACAAATGATACTGAAGAATATGACGGTGGTTCTCTTTCTCCTGTGTCCATTCGTGATAAGGATGATAAGAATGTAGAACATGTTAACCAAGTAAATCTTAATGCATGTATTGATGCAGCAAGTGGTGGGAGTTTATCCTCAAGTCATGTAACATATAGTTACAAGGATGCTAGGGGTTTAAATTCTGAAAGGGAATCTACGCATGATACATTTTCCGGTGTTGAGACGCCCGTTATTTTAGAACATAATACTGTTTCCTTTTATTACATATATACAATTATTTAACGCATTAAATATATAGGCTCTGATACTGTTATATTCATGGAGAGATCTGCTACCATTGTGACTGATATTGTCACAGGCATATCTGAAGGAAATGACCGTGGAATATCAATTAGAACATATATCATAATTGTTTCAATTCCATTAACCATTATTCTTATAATGATACTCATTATAAAAGTAAACTAAAATTCTTAGTTTTGAAAAAATTAAGCATATATTTTTAATTATTTACATAAATTATATTGTTATTTATTTTCCATATCTTTGCAGTTCACCCCTATGAAGAAGCTTATGATCAATAAAAAAAGGAGGAAAGGAAAACAAATGAGTGAAAAATTACAGAGAGTACAATTAGGGCCGTCCCTTGAAAGAGATACACTAATCCTATTTGCAAATAGCCATTTTGAATATTAAACATTATGATAATTAGATGTTTCTAAAAAATTAATTAATAATGTTTACACAAAATATTCAGTATATATGAATTGTTAATTTATTCTTGTAATATATATTTAATTATATTTTTTTGTAAATTTATCTATTATGTGAAATTATTTTATAAATTTATATAATGAAATACTTTTTTTTAGTAAACATGTATATTTGTACTTGAAATTTTGACATTTCTTTCTTCCATTTACAACTTTTTTTTGTTAATATAAACCTAAAATATAATAAACATTTTTTTTTTTATATATATAAACTCTATGTTTTGTTCTATCGGCTTAAACTATAAAATGATTCCTTATAATTTCCATACATTCTTTGTTATTTTACACAATTATATAAAATGACTTCATTATTTTGCTATAATGTAGAATTTCATGTCATAACCAATTATTAATTAAATTTTAAGAAACAAAAAAATGAGTTCTAATATAAAAAATTCATCTGAATTATATATTAAAAATGGAAATAGTTAAAAATTATTTTTAATTTATTTCAAACTACTAATTAAAGAATTCGAAAGAAATATAAATAATTATAATAGCAAAACATGTGCTGAATATAAAAAGTTCTATTTATATAATATTATATTAAATAAAAAAATTTGAAATTATAAATTCTATAACAA